GAAGGGCTCATTAGGGGGATTGCGGGCCTAAGGCGGCGCCTGAGCCCCCCGTCATATGCGTGCACTTACAACGCCGGACGGTCTTGGTTTCGTCTTCTTTTCTTCACTGCAGTCGCCGAGGGAGTCCCTGAATAAGGCACACTTGCGCTAAATGTCTATCAAGGTCCTTTTATTTTCAAGGCCCTGATAAGGCCCTTTCATGACCACTTTGTCTCGGGGGAGTATCTCCACCGTTGTTGATTAGCTGTACAATTTAGCTAATTTTAGGCTATATGGTTTATCAACGGTTGATTAAGTCAGCAGCTAGCAACCACTGCAGTAGTGCACCCATGCGCGGCAATTCGAGGTTGCTACAACATAAAAAAAAATAGTCCTGACCTCGTCCGGCTGTAATTTCTCGGACCTGTGCTTGGGTTGTGACAACACGTTCTTTATCACCCGGTGATATTAGGCTTGGCAGTCAATTTTTTCTCTTTTCGCTATTGGCAGGCTATTTATTAGTATTATAAGCTATAGCGCCCTTTAAGGAAGCCTGGTAACCTCCAAAACCCCCTTCGGCCTTCACTGCAGTAAGCTCTTGCGAAGGTGACCGCCGCTCTCCTGGTTTGTGCCGTCCACAACGTACGCATCTTTAAACCTTATGACTCAACCGTGCAATTTTGCCAAATACTTCCACTTGATGCATATAATATAAAACGTCCCGAAAGTACAGTCTAAGCCGCTTGTATTTGTATTTACTTGCACCATTCTACTAATTTCATCCTAATTTTCGCTCACTCTCGACGACTTACAAGGAGGGCAGCCTACACTATATTTTTGTTTAGCCTACATAAAAACATCACATTTGAGTTCCCTCGTTATATTGTCTCAATAATCACGAATAGTACAGTAAGCCGTTCTGTATACTGGTGTAATAAGGCGCAACCTCCCTACTATAATTTTTAGAAACAAAACTCGGTCCAGACCGTACAGACTTACTCTTCTTTTGGAATGAAAAACATCAACTTCCAGTCCCCCCATCACCTCAACCTGCGCCCCCATGCGGTATGGGTGCATAAACTTCGTACTATAAAAAATTGTCAGATTATGTAGCTTTTATTTAACGGTCACAATAGTCAAGTTCACACACAACCACTTATCCTGCTTTTGTATTATCCGTCTCAAGTGTCATTCTATCTTTTTTTGCATCGGAGGTTACGTAAATACCACCGTTGACTAAACTCTCGCACACACACTCCCGTCTTGCACAACATCCCACTGGTCCAAGGGGGCGTGCGACCGCCCTTGCGTGTGTGTCGTAAAATAATAAAGGGCGCGGGTGTGTACTCTGTACCGGGCGTAAACTCACTATCAGGGCGTCTTTCCGGCCGCTGCCAAAGCGACTGTCGGCCTGGGCGCGGGAAATATAATATAACAGATTGCCGTAGTATCATTTCGAACGCGACTGTCCCGCTATGCTCAGGTTCGGGGGGGGGGGGGCAACCCTGTCAGTGCTCGGCGCGGTATCACGGGGAGGTGGTGGTAGGGACAGGGTGGGTCATTTTTGTAGGGGTGCTGTGGTGACCAACATCATTTCATGTGGTTGTACCTATTTGCACAAAAAAATGGTGTTCAACCCCTTAATTACCTATTTTACGTGCCTAATAATATAATAATAATAATTAGGTGAGGCTAGCCACTGTGATTCCGGTGGCCAAGGGGCGTCGCTCCGAGGGGTGGCACTGTCAATGCACCCGACCCGACCATGGCTCTTCCCTGCTTAGGGCTACGGCCTGGCTTCACCCGGCCAGCCTATTTCAGTGATCGGCTAGGGGAGTGAGGGGGGCAACTTTTACATGATCACATGGGCTTCACCGGCAGCGTCAGGGCCCGACTAACAATCAGGGGTCAGTGGTGACCTGCTGTACCTGGCAACACTTACCTTAGCGGGTATAACTGCGTGGTCTAGGATTTGAGAGTTGTTTCGTTGTCGATTTGGCTAGGAAGTCGGAGTATACTCGGGTCGTGTGCAGTTTTATTTGAAGCTGCTGGGAGTCCCAGCAGCTTCTACTGAAGCCTTCCGAGTAAATCGCCAGAACGCCGACACCTCCTCATCTCCACCGCTCCCATGTTTTCTTTAGTAGTGCCATAAGTTATTCTCTCTCCGTTGGTGCGCTGGGCTAGTGCTAATGCTAATAATGCTAATGTGAGCAAATAAAATGGCGGCTTCATAAAATTTTTTCTGAGTTTTACGGGGAATGGTTTGCAAATCGCCCAGCCAATCAGAAATTGGAACCTATTTCTCCCCAGGAAAGTCCCTGCTCTCTAGCAGGGACGGAAAAGGGGTGAAAAGGTTAGCAAAATGTTGTTCTAGTTCCAGATCTTTTTGGTGTGAAAGCAAAATCCCAGGAACTATCGGAACTATTCCTGGGAAAAGTACTCCAGTGTGAAAGTACCTATGGAAACCCAGAAGAAGAACCAACTATCCCTTTTGTTACATAGCTTCTGGTCATATGCAGAAGGACAATTTAGAAAGCAAATGTAGTTGATTTGTAAGACACTCACGTAACTAGCAGTTTCTTTTCTTCTCCTATCCTAAGATTTGAATCTCGCTACATATTCCGTGAACTCTCATCAGTTAATGCCGTTATAAAACAGTCAATAAAATAGGTTTACTCCAAACCTGTAAATAACCATAATCACAAGAGTTTTTATTTGCGCACAAAAAGATAAAGACTGATGGGTCGAGCAGTATGGGAGATTGGTTGCAGGCAGACAGATACATGGACTAATACACACGGCCGAACACATGATCTCCCCACGAGACCCCAAAAAGCAAAAGTAAAAACATGATTATGCTGACTCGGCAATCCCTGAGTCAAGAAAAGCTAGAGAAGCTGTCTTGCTGCGAGTTACTATGAATGAGTTGATCACTGCCCCTGCCAGAGAGCAGACAGAATAGACCTCCTCTCCACTGAGTGTTTCCATCCTGCTGTCCTCAGGCGATGACTCCATGAGGATGTCCCATCTGAAGGTGGGCTCCGCCGCAGACATCCCTCTGGACATCGGAGAGTTCGACCTGAGCCAGCTGACCGCCTCCCTGACCACGCCTTATGGCCGCGAGGAGCCCTGCCTGCTGAAGATGCTGCGAAACGGACATGTTGGTGAGTGTGGGTGTTTGGGGGAGGAATGGACAGGAAGGATCTCACCTTCCTAACCCCCTGTTGGTTTTTCTGCACAGGCATCTCATTTGTTCCCAAGGAGATCGGAGAGCACTTTGTGAACATCAAGAAGAACGGTCGTCATATTCCCAGCAGCCCCATTGCTGTCATGATCAACCAATCAGAGATCGGCGACGCCAGCCGTGTGCGTGTGAGTGGTCCGGGCCTCAGCGAGGCCAGGACCTTCGAGCCCGCCGAGTTCATCATCGACACCCGGGACGCAGGTACAGGACTCATTCAATACCCCATGTGTGGTTATTTGTCACATTTCATTGAAAATGTGTGGACTCGAATCACTCGTTTCATACTTTTAGACTCGACCTGGGCTTTAGAGGCAGAGTCATACTTTCTGCATCTGTGAGGCTCTGCTTTGTTTCCTTTTACGCAAACATTGTAATCTACAAAGTCCCTGAGGGTCGCTGTTATCAACATTAATTTAATTTGCAGCCAAATGTCTAGTCCTGGCAAACACTGTGACATGGAGTATGGATCCGTAAAAAAAGCACAGAAATTGTTTTTATAAAAATAATATATAGCTATTTTTTGGATGATCTTGCTTATTAATCTAATTATCAACCAATAATATGCTGTTAATCTTTTTAGCTCCGTTTTAATTCCTGCAAGATATTCTTACATAGAATTGTTTATTATAATATCAAAATACTATATTATGATATATGATACAGCTTTTAGAAATCCGTTGATATTTCATAATGGCCTAAAAAAATAAAAGATATTTAAAGGATAGATGCAGCAGACATTTATGTTGCTTAATATGATTAATATTTGTACCTACTGGTTTACAGTTGTTTAACTTTTCATCATGAACGTATTAGTCCTACCACCTTTTGAGAATTTTTAAATATACATGCAGACAAACAGGGACCCTCAATCGTGGTATGAATAGATCTGTGACAGCAATGATGCAGCTTGACTTTGGACTTGAATGCAAAGAATCAACTAACTTGTGACTTGGACCCACTTCTGATTCCTGCACTCTTTTCACTTCGATACAGGCTATGGCGGCTTGAGCCTGTCCATCGAGGGGCCCAGTAAAGTTGACATCAACACAGAGGACCAGGAGGACGGCACCTGTAAGATCACCTACTGCCCCACGGAGCCAGGAAACTACATCATCAACATCAAGTTCGCTGACCAACATGTGCCAGGTGCTTACCTCAAAAACAGCAGAGACTGCAGAGCAGAGTGGAACTGAATGACTAACTCCATCCTTCATCATGTGTGTACAGGGAGTGCCTTCACTGTGAAGGTGACAGGGGAGGGCAGGATGAAGGAGAGCATCACCAGGAAGAGGAGAGCGGCTTCAGTGGCCAACGTGGGCAGCCAGTGTGACCTCAGCCTCAAGATCCCAGGTGTGAACCATAATCTCTGCGGTCATGTCAACTGAATCTTACTTTACAGTTAGACACAGGTGGATGTGCAACTGATTGTGATTATTTCCCTGTTGGAAAACACTGACGTTGCTGAATTTGAGCATGTGCAATTTTCTACATGCCCTTAAAGCAGGGTCACTTTTGAAAAAAAGGACACATTCATCCTCTTACACAATAACTAGTTTGATTAGAAAGCAAACACACCCTTCCTCAATTTAATACACACAGAGGTCTTGCTGAAACAGCTTGGTCTTGTGTCAGCAGTGACTTATGGTGAGTAACTTTAACTAATGTCAGCAGATTTTACAAAGATTCCTACGGAACCGACATCTACTGTAGCTAATGTAGCTAGTGACTATAGAGAAGTACTTACCACCATACAACCTCACTTCAATCGAACCGCACAACAATCACAAATATTCATTTAAAGTTCCCATGTCATGGCCATTTCTACTGATCATAATTCCATTGTTGAGGTCTACTAGAATAGATTTACATTGTTCAATGTTCCAAACTCACATTGGTTTCTCATACAGCATCTCTGTATAGTATGTGTATTCACTCTGTCCTACACGGCTTGTTGGAGCTCCTGACCCCCCCCCTCTCTATGAGCCCACTGTGCTCTGATTGGTCAGCTCGCCCACTCTGTTCTGATGAGTCTACCAAAGTTACAGCGGAACATCAGTGTTTATGTGTTACAATGGCGTTGGCAACCAGAAAATGACACCAGTAAGGACAAACGGATGTGGATGCTGCGTGGGGGGACGTTGCAGGGCTCGCTGCTGTGAGGAGCAGAAAGTGTGAGCTGTGGTTGCTGCGTGGGGTCTGCGAGACTGTGAGACATCGCGAAACTCAGCCTGAACTCAGCCTGAGCACCATGGACGCGGGAAGGGGGGGTGCTGAGGGGGCTGCAGCACCCCCATCTGCGAGGCTCCACTAGCACCCGCACCCTCAAACGCGGCGCACCTACAGTGTAAGCTACACCTAAAGTTTTGCCGCTGAGAGGCTCCACTAGCACCCCCCCCAGCGCGTCACAGTTTCGCTGCAGAGAGAGTGTCTAAGGAGCTCCACCGATTGTCGTTAGTCACTTGGTTACCGGAAGAAACAAATGGAAAAAGAGAAATCTCCAACCAGGCGTTCTGGGGCAGCATAGACAGGTCTTTTCTGTGTTAGAGTTTTACTCGCTACAGGGTGTACTTTGAGGGTTTGTGACTCTGCAGACCGTTTACATGCAGAACAACCTTCATAACACACAAGGGGACGGGTAATAACCGGAAAAGCATGACATGGGACCTTTAAGTAAATACACAATTAGCTTTAAATATCTAATATAAGTCTTGCTGGTAGATGGATGTTATTACATTTGGACTAACACTGTGTGTGTGTGTGTGTGTGTGTGTGTGTGTGTGTGTGTGTGTGTGTGTGTGTGTGTGTGTGTGTGTGTGTGTGTGTGTGTGTGTGTGTGTGTGTGTGTGTGTGTGTGTGTGTGTG